TATATATATAGGATTACTGTATCTCAAATCTGTGAATAATGTCAAATAGCCTAGCAGGAACTCTGCACCCTATCTCACTTACACACCCACGATTATTCAAAGCAGCACATTGAATTTCATTCAGACACTTCAGTAACATTGATAATAGTCACGTGCAATCAAGCAAGCACCGATGTACACATCTGCATACCAATCAATTTAAACAATCTTTAGGCAATATTGAATCAACAGCTGAAATTCGAACTTTTTAAAATCAGGTTTTTGTAATTATTTTTTTCCAGATTTGTTTGCCCCACCTTATGTTGTTGCAAAGACTGCTTTTTTTTTATCTTAAACTGAACATTTCTAAATGTCAAGAGCTATGTTTAAAATAAAAGACATGAGTAAACAGCAAGCAGAGATGGAGTGGGAGGAGGAGGAGGTGTGAAGTACACCTTCCAGGAGCGCAAATACAGACCTGATGAAAATAAATCTGAACTGATTGAAAACAAATAAAGGATACATTGACACAGTAAATATAGGTTGTTATAAGGTTGCTCATAACCACAAATGGCCTTGTACTACTGCCTTGTATTTCACAGATATGGATGCAAAATAGGATTATCAGTCCCATATGACTGCAACATTTCAGACTTTCCAAGGAAAACAGGTCAGTGTCAGTTTACAGAAACACCTGTTCTCCCATGGCATGCGCACTTGAATAACAATGGCCATACACTTTACCTGCCACATAATCTAACCATACATGAGTTTTAGCTCTTCAAGCAGAAGTAACGTACCTTAGAGGACTGCTGTGTCTCTTAGCTGTTTGAGAGAAAAGGTGTTCCCCATCCTGACTTGTGCCTCTAAACTCTCTCTCACTTCTTGCTGTCTTTCAATTTTCAATGATGCATTTCTACTGTAATAAGAACTTGCCTGACTGGTTTGACATGCTTACCCTTTTCCACCCCCTTTGATTATTGTGCCTTCCTCTCTCATTTCCCTACCTCTTTCTCTCCTCCCCCGTCTCTTTCTGTCTGCCTCTCTCTTTTTCTCCTTCCATCTATTTGTGTCTCAGTTTCTTTGTCTGTCGTACACACATACACACCTGTCAGCATGCACACCCTTCATGTCTAATGAGAACATTCCTGGTCCGTGGTTTCTTGATGACTCAGGAAGTATTAAAGGGTAGAGTAGGTAAATGCTTGTGACAGGCATCTGGTCCTAGAGTTATAAGACCTCTGAACATGATTCAGATATTTGAAGGCTTTAAAATTTCAGTGTCGGGATTAAAATTTAAATGCTTTAGTTAAACTCAAATTGTAAATGTCTGTTTTTTGTGAAGTTGGACTAACAGGCCTAGACAGTTATAGTTCATGTATACATGCAATGTGTATTTATTCATTTAAATATTTGATTATGCATTGTGCCATATATTCAGTACCCCTAATTATCTGAAAAAAGTCCATAGCTAATAATAACAGAATCTAAACAAATTTGAATAAATCAGATTGCCAACACAATAAACTACACTAAAACTGAAATGATATTAAATCAACAAAAGGCTACAATAAAACATCTTCCTTTGATGAAGCATGATAAACTCTCCAGTTATGTTTAATATACTCAAATTAAGTTTCTGCACCATTTTGACAATTAACTACTACTATGATGTTACAAATAGTACCAGATACACGCATTGAAACTCATTTATTTTCAGACAACACACCTTCAGTCTTGACATTAGTGATGTCTTTGAGTTTCGTTATGCTAATGCTAATAAATATGTTTATCCGAGCAGTTCGCTTTTATTTTATCTGCTCCATCTTTCTTCTTCCCTCCACCTTTGCTCATTCATTTCCTCTGTACATATTTGCTTGCTCAGTTCTTTACAGTAAAACAGCATTAAATGAGTGACCTGTTATACTGTGGTCGTAGTGAGGAGCAGTTATCCAATTTTTTTAAAGACCTATGCTAATAACAGACCATTTGATTTTCAGAAATCAAATATATACTTGCAGCACTTACTTAAAACACTATATGACTAAATGTGAGATTATAAACATACAGTATATAGTATAAAGATGTGTGCCAGATGTTGGCAAATATTGACGACATACAGCATCAAGCACCAAACACAGTGCTAAAACAAGGAACGATGACAAAGACTATCTTATTATACAGTATTTTAAAAATAAATAGTATGCAAGATAATGCATGTGTTTGAAAAGGAAGATTAAAAATGTTGAATAGACTGGCATTGACCAATGTTTCAACTGAAACCAGAAACACCAGTGGCATAATAGACTGCATACTTTTAGGATCTTGCAAACCATGACCCAGAAATGCCAAGGACATGTTTGCAAACTGCTACTGCATGAGCCTTTTTAACCTGTTAGCCATCCTCAAGCATCATTTACATGAATTAAAAATACAAAAGCCTGTAGATGGAGGCCCCAATACACCGCAAACCTGAATGTACACAACCTTAAAAGTGGTAAAAATTAATTAAACATAATAATAATACTATATGCATTGTAATGGAAAAAAAACATTTTGACAATTGATTACCTGGGTGAATTTCTGTGGCACACTTGTGGGCTGAGTTGCTCAACTTCCTGCAGCTGCAAGAGCAAATGAAGAGTGCAGCAAAAGGAGCTGCTCAGAGGCTGAGAGAGAGCAGATGGGCGGGAGTTAAGTTTGAAATGTATGTGAAACTTGACAGCCAAACCTTTTGCAGGCTCTAAAATATGTGAATGAAGAGACTCAGACTAAACAAATGACTGTTTAATGGTGCTGTTTTATATTATATGAATATATCTTGCTTTTGCATGCACATTACATAATACAATGAATTATTATTATTGTTGTTAATTAGGGTCAATAAACATTTATTGATTTCACACTTTGATATAAATGTACCACATTTAACCAAAATAACTAAAGAAAAAGATGAATTAACCATTAAACATTACCTATTAATACATTCTTCAAACATATAGCCTAATGCAAACCAAATCAAATAGTACAAATCCTAAGCATTCAAAGCATTCTGTGATTAAATGTGGTGTGTGTGTGTGTGTGT